ATTTAACATTAACAACCTGCATGATAGTGCTCTCATTGTTTTTTTTGCCTTTATAGTAATGGCAAGAGGATAAACATTGCACTGCATTATATTGTTGTCTTAAATTTTAAAAAGAGAAGTTCATACTGGATGAACAGAGCAAACATCTGCCAAACGTGTTTCTGGGAGTGATTATTTCTAAAGACAGCGGGGGGAATCTGACATTAATATTGCATTGTTTTTATTGCCAACAAACATAAGGCTTATTCTTCCACAGCAAATGTTGCATCAGACATCAAAGCCAGCCAGCTCGCAGTGAATATTTATTAGCAGCGATGGTACATGAAACAAGATTATCACATCTCTGCCTACATGTTGGCCCTGCAGTACTGTAGGTTTCAGGTGAGCTGCACTCCCCGCTGTTACTCAGTAAGCAAAGCTAACATGATACGGTTGGCGCAGTGCCGTTCACACTCCACAGTAAACCAGGAACATCAAGTTCTTCTCTGAACATGTCCTTGTGGAACGATATCAGATACCCCAGACATTTACAGATTTGGGGTTGCTAGCAATGTGTATGAATAACACCTGGAGCCTGACAACTGTTAGAGCTCCGAGATGACCCCGGTCCTGCTATACTTGTTCTAAACGAGGGTCACTGGCCTCATTCTTGATGGTTATTAGGATCTTGGCACAGCTCCAGTGGTGTCTAATGCTGACCATATCTTTATTTGCAGGTGGAAGCTGTACTGTATCTCTTGGTGGTGTTGTTTTTTTGGTCCAATTGATGTACTGCATGTGACATTACACATTAGATTTTTGTTAGATAGCAAGATTTTTTTGTTGGTGGTCTGAATAGGTAGGAAAAATGTCAGAATAAAATCAGTTACATCCTAAAAGAAAGTTTGACATTTGGGGAAATATGTTTATTCCCTCTTTAGCCAAGAGTTAAATGAGAAAAACGACACCACTCTGTACCCTAAGAATCAAGCTCCTGCCAGCAGCCAGTTATCTTAATTTAGTGGTAAGACGGAAAGAAACAGTTGGCTTGCACTGTCTAAGTAGCAAAATTGACCTTCCAGCACATCTAAAGCTAGCTGATTACAAGTTATATCCGTTGTTTAATTCACAATACATTGTTTTAACACTTCAACAAGTTTTTGTGTGGTTTTTAAACCACCTAGCTGTTTACCCATGTTCAGTCTTTGTGCTAAGCTAACCAGCTGCTGGCTGTTGCATCATATTTCTCATCTAACTCTTGGCAAGAAAGCAAAAATATTCCTTTAAAAGGGGAAAATGGTGTGTAGATATATAATAATAATAACAAATAGACAGCCCTTGATATAACCAAGGTCCTTATAACATCTCTGATATAACCAATGACTTTTGGTGTCAAGAGTTTTGTGGTCCAGACATTTAAGAGCAGTTCATCTCTTTGCTCCTACAGGAGGTGGACATCTACACAGTGAAGCCCGAGGACCTCTCATTTACCTCAGCGTTCTGCCTGCAGATCCAGAGGAACGACTACATCCATGCACTGGTCACCTACTTCCACATCGAGTTCACTAAGTGTCACAAGAAGACTGGTTTCTCCACCGGTACGATGACTCATGTCTCTTACTTACAGGGCAGCAAGGATCTAGGTGTATGAGTGGGTGTATGTGTAATCATTAGAGCTATATGTATTATAGTGACAGTAATGATAACCTAAATTATTAATCTCCTCTGTGAGAGAATCAAGTAAAGCTTCAGCAATCCCTAGAAGTCAGATTGAGTATGTCCCTCAAGTCTACTTTACATTACAGCAGGGTGGATGCTTTACTGAAGCGGTGGGTTCGGTTACTCATTAATATGCTTCAGTGAGCCCTGTAGAGATTAAATTTGCAATCCTGAAGAAGCAGGCCCTTCTGGTTCTCAGCAAGGGAACAAGGGAAAGTGACGGCCTGAACTTGAAATCGAACATCCCTTACGAACTTCTCACAAATCTACCTAAATTTGATTGGATGAAAGCACAGACCAAATAAAGCACAAGTAAGCAAAAAAGGGCAACAGAATAGTTTGATATTTTGTTTTTGGTGCAGAGAGTTAGATGAGAAGATGATCTCTTATGTCTGTTATGACTCATTAAATATGAAGCTCCAGCCAGCAGACACTTAGCTTAGCTAAGCATAAAGACTGAAAGCAGGGGGACACAGTTAGCCTGCAGTTTTGTCTTGTTTGTTTAATCCGTACAAAAACATATTGTTTTATATCCTTTGTTTTTGGTACCTGCCTGGTTGCAGCTTCATATTTAACAGACAGATATGAGAGTGGTATCAATCTTCTCATCTTACTCTTGGCGTGAAATTTTACCTACATGTCAAACAATGAGAGTAGAAGATTCACAAACTTTAGCTGTACATTTTAAATGTAAATGTAATCACTAACTAACCAATGAGTGTCTGACATTATGTTTTGGTAAATCATGGGGAATACTTGTGCTGGTAGCAAGCATTTCATACACTCCTGTAAGGGAGAAAAAATTAGGGAACAAGGGCGGATATTGCTGGATTTGTTTCATATAAACTGGAACTGGATTTCACTTTATTGGGGTAGACAGAAAGCATTCACAAGCAAACATTTTATGTGGAACTGAAAGCTCTCAGCGGCCTGGAATCAAGACCATGAGTTGGAGGACAGCTTCACAAGGCACTTGCACTATTAATGTAACTAAAGTAAAATGGGAGTAACTGGCTTCAAACATCCCAGGTTATACAATGGTCCATTTCTCAAGCTCATTGTGTTTCATGCCCTGTAAGAATTGGTAGCTGGTAGTTTGGCCTTGCAGGAAAGGTAAAGGGGGAAAAAAACGCCAGGCTCTTGTCAGGAACTCTGTGTGTGTGACTGACCTCTAGTGGTAGTGGATGATATGGTACATTGAAATGATCTTGAAAGCAGAATGTATCATTGTAAAGGGTGCTTTGAACAACAAATCTACTGGCCTTCTGGTACTGGTAATAGTGTGTAACCACTGATAATTTTATTGATCACATCACAGCATCACCAGGACCATGTATCTTTTCCAGAAAAACGTATATTTTTAAACTATTTCCTAACATCAGCTTTTTCTGCCCTGCCCTCTTCCTTACTATTGATTTTCTGTAAGATTCTCTGATAAGCAAGGGTTCCAGTGTCAGAACTGAAGCCTTGTCTGCCAAAACTTTAAGATACAGATCTAAACTTACGCACAAACAGCCCAAGCTTGTTATTGATTCCCCAAACAGTCCTGAATGACAGTCGTATCAGACACACACACACACACACACCACACACAGACTCTCAGCCAATGAGAAAAACTCAGGCCGGGGTCAAAGATTAAAATTCATGCTGGTCAGTAGAAATGCCATCTCATCTGCTGAATTAGCATATGAAACACAGCTAGCTTGTCGGTGTCTTTAAAACGCTGAGAGCTAGGCCAGTGCAGCAGCCGTGCTGATTGGCAGGCCCTTTTATCTATGGATTCACAAAGAGCTTGTCTATAAAGGCAGAGCTTCCGAGCTGCCCCAGGACAGCTGGCAGAAATTTTTGATTTAAGCTCTACTGACCTTTTGAATCTCAGCCAAGCGATCAGCGAATATCAGGGCGCTAGGGGAATGGTCACATTTATTTCAGGGCTTTGGGTGTCAGTTTCTACCTGTCTTTCCATGCACACACAAACGTGCGCATGCAGATGAATGCACATTACGTAGCACAATAGATCCAAAGTGGAACAGAGATGAAAGGAGATGACTCGAGCAGAGGAGAGGTCAAGAATGCAGACATGCATTTCTTTCACTTCAGTGCTGTCATCTTGAACTCAAGCAGAGCTACCTACTCTTTTTTTGCACCATTGCTTCACAACAAGGACTCAGTTCCCTGTCTCTTTCTCTGCACAGTTTGTGTTTATTCTCTATCTGACATTCAAGCCAGGTAGATAGGAGACTGTGCTCTGTTAGCCCCATGATGGACTGACAACCTGTCCAGGGTGTCTCTCTGCCTTCTGCACAGTGTTTGATGGCATAGACATCAGATCCTTGGTAATACTGAAGAGGGTAAACGGAGCAGAGAAGCAAACAAATGCATTGTTGACAAGGGGATGATATTTACTGTTGCTTTCTGTCTGAGACGTTTGGTTGGTGTGTTGCGAAAGTTATTGTCGGTTATTATATTTTTCACAACCTGGCAACCGGTCAACAGCTCTTATTAATGGCTAACTGATCAATAAAGCATCCATACATGATTTATTAAGCATTATTATTATTCGTCATTAGTAAGAACTTGAAACCCCTTAGAAAGACTGCCTTTTTTGAAAGTGGTGGCACTCTGTTATAAAATAAAATGGTAGATGTTCATTTTTAAAGTGTGTGTGTTTCTGTGAATGTGTGTATGTGTCCCAGCACCAGATGCTCCATACACCCACTGGAAACAGACAGTGTTTTACCTGGAGGACTATTTGACGGTGCGGAGAGGAGAGGAGATCACCGGCAGCATTGCTATGAAGCCCAATGAGAAAAACATTGTGAGTATTGTAAAAGCCAATGTTCACATTGTGTAATTAGAATGTAGAATAATATCTGCCTTTCAGTGAAATATTGCATGTGAAGTTATGTTTAGTGGCAGTAGATATGTATATATATATATTACATACAGCATGTACGAAAATATAGAATACAAATATAATCTTTCACAGTGTTATTGTTCTATCCCAGCTAAGAAATGACTCATTTCCTGCGCTGCCTGCCTACAACAGATTGTTTTCTCCTCAGTGTTGGATAGCGGTCAAATCGGCAGCAGCACTGCAGTGACTTCCAGACAAACAACAACAGATTCTATTGTTGACCTTGTCAGCGTCCTCTCCTCCCCTGCTGGGACAGAGAAGTGGTGCCAGCTTCCTCCTGTTGTCTGACACAGTCTGTGCTTATTTAACACCATGTTCTGCTGTCAGGTCAAAATGGAAAATCTGATAGTGCTCTCATCTTAGACCCCCCCCCCCCCCCCCCAGCCTCAGCTAAGGATTCGCTTAATCATTACCTCCCCTCTCTCTGAAAACCCTCTTTCTTTTCTCCCTCTCTTGACCTGCAGCGCGACTTGGACTTTACCTTCGAGTTGGACTTCAAGGGACAGCTGTGTGAAGCGGCCATAGCCCATGACTACAAGATGCGTTAAGTTTGACTGGGGGACGTGCCCCACTGACTACAGCGCCTGAGCACCAGAGGCAGACAGAAACTCTCCCGTGACCACAGACAGACACATTGGCTGACGTAAAGAGGGGCATAGGATAAGAGAAAACATCAGGTCAAAGGACAGGAAGAGGTGGCCCCATTGACAATATCAGTACTTTTATTGCAGCGTATGATGAAGGCAGGATGTTACTGATGCTGACTGTTAAACAATTCTGAATGTAACACTGATTAAAAAAAGAGGCCAGGAATTTTTAGGTGAATGTTATTGATTATTGATGTGTGTATATGTGAGATGGAGTGATGTATCTGTGTTTTATTCAGTACTTGTTTTCCATAAAAACCTGGACCTTATGGAGGGATTTTACACTAGAGCTCATCTAATGAATTACTGTATTGTCCATATTCTGCTGTAGGTAGGCAATACATTTAAGGTGTAATTCTTATGTCATAATATGTGCTGTGGGGAATGGTCAGATCTCTCAATCAGAGAAACGCTTTACTTTATCGTCAAATTCATTTAGCAATGTTGGAAAACTAACAGCAAAGGACAAACCTGCGTAGGTGCGTATATGTGTAACGTGAAAGGTAGCACGTGTTTGCATAGTCAGTGTACTACTAGCTTCCTGTGAGTGTGCAATAGAATGTGTCAAAGCTCACACTGTTGCACAGCCTGGACTCCAGATGTGCTCTTTGTTGTCACTTTGATCTGTGATGTTGACATGCCAATAACATACCTTCCCCATTCTAAATGCCTTGACCATGTGCCGAAGTGTACCTAGTTCTTTTCCTCACTGCTGCATTAAGCTCTTTTCTATAGTTTCATATATAGGCGGTAGCCACTTTCCTTTTATTAGATTGAGATTAGATATTACTTATGCTCAAGCCATCTCAAACAATCCAACCTTACATATCTTATTAAGTCCTAACAACCAGCTCTGATCTCAGATAATAAGTTTCCCCACTGAAATTATGACAATGATAACCAAGATACAGTGACACTGCAGGTCGTCGAGTGTCACTGTATCTTGGTTTGAACCTAATGAGACTGAGAATCATGTTTCTTAAGTTTGAGTTTCTTGAGTACTATCACATGATGCGATGCTAGAGTTTACAGACTGTATTTCAGTAGGACATACTTCCCCTGTGCTCTTACTTAGGTCATCGCCAAGCTATCCACTGAAGAGTTTTCTTCAGTTGAGATGTGGTTCAGGGCAAAAGATTAACTTAAAAATATTTAACACCTCACATCGATGTTCCTATTAGCCTCAAATATCGACTAAAGAAAACAATACAAAAGTTTTATCTTTGAAACCATTTGGTGATAAATAATCTCTCCCAGATTGGAATTGTGTGTTTATGATAGTGTGGAGCCAAGCCTCTATTCCCTTGTGTTATCTATTGTGCAGAGGCCCAACTGAATCTTTTCTGGGCTGTAACCAAAATGTAAAATACGAGCACTTGGGAGCAATGAGGGAAGCTAGATAAGTTATAAAGCATTCAACTAATGCTAGTATCAAACACCACAAAGTGTAGTATCAGACTGAGTGCTACCTTCTCAGAGCAGAGTTACTTTGAGCCTACGTATTTAAGAGGGCACTGGCTGGGACAAATAAGCAATACGATGTTTACTAAAGCTTACATTAAATAATACTTAAGACATCCTACTTATTTAGAATACTTGCTTCTCAAACCTTGTTTGCCATATAGTTTATAAGTCCAAACAGATCTAATAAATTGGCATGTTAGATCCACATGTATTACTATATTTAAAAAATAAATGTTGTTTCACATGTTGTCATGTCAACCTCAAAACTGAATAAACAGCAATGTCTAAACTCATCCACTGGGTGATGCTGTATGACTTATTTTAATTTCATTGTACCAGAAAGAAATGCCAGTCACCAGTTTGTTTGTTTTATTACAAGTTATATTAACATTAACAATTCTTTACTGATTTCTTTGTTTGTTTTATGCTATTTACATGTATACATACATTAAAGTGATGTTCAAGATACTGGCAGTAGTGAAGCACTATTAGTGATTCTAGTGCAATATCAAACAGTAAAATCTGAACTTTTAACCTTTCTGTAACATATTAACATGTTAAAGTGACACCATTTTCAAAAAATACTTGGCACAGAGGAGTTTAGATTATTTGAAATAAACATTTTACTCCAGTAAACTTAATTTGGTCAATTGGAGAAAAATAATTATCTGCATTATTATCTAAAATACAAAAACACACAACTGAGCCAACCTCCCAGCTAAATGCTCAGGTAGCCTAATAATCTTCAGTACTGTTACAACAAAACAACACAGAATTACAAATCAATAATCATGTGCAAAACATAACACAAGTCTATCAAATAAAATACTATAAAATGTGACAGCCCTGCTACAAATACTACATTTGAAGCTAATCATTTTCAGTGTTTTTTTTATTTTATTTAACTACACTGCTATTTTTGTTTATTCAGTGGACAACACACAGGTGAAAAAACTAAGACACCTGTGTAATATAGAAAAGGTGACGAAGCAAAACAGCTAAAAAGCTACGCACAACTGAATAATATGTTATATACAGTCAAAAGCCCACATGTGACAGATAAAGGGCCTTTGAAAGGTAAATAAATATTTGAGAGCTACAGTCAGACTTTGGATGAATATCCTACATTTATAAAATGAAAAAGTGAAAGTCTCAGTTTTGTTCCGTTGTTTTTATCTAAAAGTCAAACTAAGGTAGCCTTTGAACTTTTCAAATATTACAATTATTTTACTACATTTCATAAAATTTCCATTTACTTACTTTCAAACTGCAAATAACTTGGGTAAACATAGAGAGTAGACTGTCCATAATAGTGCAATAACACCCGTGACAACATACGTACAGTGTTCATTCTGGTGTTGGGTTTACCCTGAGTGCTACATGGTGGAAGACAGTGGAAACAGTTGTGCTGATCTTCAGAATAATGTGTCCTCTGTGGCACATGTGGTCACACTATCACATTGTGAATCTTAGTAAAGGGTAGTGCTACTGTGTTTATGTTGACTGCTTAACTGTTAGCAGCAGGATCTCTTCTTCTCAGAGGGGCTGCCGACCAGCTGGACTGTCTTCTCCTTCTCTCTGTCCTCTTGCTCTTTCAGAATTCTAAGAGGCATGAACAAATTCATTTTTACATTTTTATGGTATACCCTAATTGGATTGAAGAAAATCGGTCATTCTCAGACAGAGGAGACAAAATATGGTTTAAACAATGACATGAACAGCTGTGCACTTGGTAAACAATGGCAGATATTTTCACTTAAGAGTGACTGCTTTCTGTTGTGTTGTCCGGAGCCAGCAGATAACAAAAAGCCCTTTGTTCCTCCAACACAGGACGAATTAAACATTTGGCTCTCTATGACATGCCTTGTTTCAGTACAGAAATAATCCCACTTTAAAAGCCGTTCAAGCAGACAGTTGCTCCATATTAACTCTAAACCCAATTACTGTTCCTTTGTTTTCCTGTTGCATAAACTCACACAAAAAGGCCATTATTTTTGCTCACCTGGCTAACTGAACCATGGACTCCACCACATTGTGCCCAGAGCATGCACTGCACTCAAAGAAAGTCATTTGGCAGTCCTGCAAAAGAAGCAAATGATGATGATGATGGCTGCTGTTACCATGTAAGAGAAAGGTGAATGAAACTACTTTTTGCACACTGATCAGGATATCAACAAATGTCAATTCTGTACTAGTTGCAAAGTAGAAAGACAAAAATGTTTCTCATGTAACAATATCAGCTCACATGGTCACATAGAAACTACAGTACCAGCCAGAAAAAAAGAAAAGAAAGCTCATAAAAGCTAACTCAGAATCATACTGGAGTTGCATCCACATAAAAATTATCTCTATTTTGTGATCATTTTCATCGTTTCTTTAATTTATTAAAACAAGAAAAAGGCACCACTTTGTTACTGTGGTCTGACAGGTTAGAACCTGACACTAAGAATCTTGAGCTTAGCAGACAA